ACATATAGAAACAAAGAATGTGACGGCAGATAAGAACTATTCAGCTCATCTGGTCTACCCAATTTTCGAAATACACGCAAGCTTAAACTCCTTCACTGTGTTAACCTTTACCACTTAAGCGGGAAGGCTATTCCATGCATCCACTACCGTCACAGTAAAGTTATTGTTGTGGAAATAAGGTCTACACATATTTCCTAGTTAAAGGAAAATGTCTATTTACTCATCTCACACTATGCTATAGAGTTAAGCACACATGTTTAATCAAAATGGCTGCTAGAAGCTTCTAACCCCTTCCTCCCCCTGCCCCTTTAAACACCGACTAACTACCTCGTGCAGCAAGATGGTGCCGGGAAACCGTGGGAGACCCTCATGGACCTGGTGACATGAAATATTGACATATTTTTAGCTAGTAAAATGTCTATTTACTTCATTTAGTTATACTTAATATTATTCAATAAATTACTAAACTGACCACTAGATGTCACTCAGGAGTACCCCACCCATCGACCAAACACTCTAATTTTCAAGATGGCGCTGGAATCCTGGGGGAGAACTCCATGACGACAGTAATGACATAAGAAGGCACACCCTGTAGGACGTGCTTTGAATAAAACACTTAACACTTGACCAATTATTGATGTATTATTCCATGTTATCTCTGACAATGCTTATGATGTAATTTTGCTTTAAAAGGGACCTGCCGTCCCCTCTGAATAAACTTTCCTCAAGTTATTCAACAACCTGGAACCTGTGTCTGGTGTGAATTACTTCAGGGAGCGTGCACGCATTGTTTCATTGATTTGGCCAGGGGCAGATACACAAAGAAATAATCAATACTTTAATTGATTTTTCCATTTCAATTGGCGCCATAACGTGGGGCCCCCGGATTTGCCGGTTCGGAGGGCCGGATACCAAGGACCAGAGCGGACCCCCAGAAAATGGGACAAGCGGAGCCTGATCACCTCCATAATACAGCCGTTGCCTGTGTTATTCTCCTGTTTTGTGTCGGTCTGTCTCCGAGTCCACTTCCGGCTTCCAGAAGGCTACTAGAGACAGGTATTTAGCTCATCCGGGGTACCTTTTTAAAGTGAACCTGTCGATTGTCTATCTGCCTCCTGTATTTGTTTGAATGTGTGTGACGGCCGGAGTGTGTGTTTTCCCCCTTTTTAAAAGACAATAGCTTGACTGCCTAGCGGGCAGGGGACGCATTACAGCCGGTGGGGCTGGGATTTTACAGCCGGTGGGGCTGGGATTTTACAGCCGGTGGGGCTGGGATTTTACAGCCGGTGGGGCTGGGATTTTAAGTTAGCTTGACTGCCTAGCGGGCAGGGGACGCATTACAGCCGGTGGGGCTGGGATTTTACAGCCGGTGGGGCTGGGATTTTACAGCCGGTGGGGCTGGGATTTTACAGCCGGTGGGGCTGGGATTTTAAGTTTGCTTGACTGCCTAGCGGGCAGGGAACGCATTACAGCCGGTGGGGCTGGGATTTTGTTTGTTTATTACTGTGCTCTCATTAGTACCTGTGTTATACTGGGACCAGCCTGGTGGGTGAAGGCTGAGGATTGCTATACTTCGATTATTTGGCACCGGTGTCATTAACATGTACATGGCTATTTTACTCTCTGTCATTCTGTGGTTTTTTGTTTAATTGTTGTTACAGTGTGGGTACCCTTGGTGTGTGTGTGTGTGTATGTATATAGTGTGGCTAGTTCTGGATTCTGGGGTTTACACTCATCTCTATGTTTGTGATTTTTGCAAATGTCTTCTCGTTAGTGTAACCACTTTCATCTTTTCATTTGTCCTTTATCTCTCCTGTGTTTGTTGCCCAGAGCTGTGTTAGTCACCCACGCTCGCCCCCTCCGGTCTGTGGCCACCTCCCCCGGGTGCACAGACCATCGTGACTAGTCAGTCGAGCACTGTAGACTTTCCTACTTCTTCTTCCCTCTCACTTGGTCTCCTTTACTTGGCAGACCTCGCTTGGTCAAAAAGGGGCAAGTACATACTAGACCAGCTAAGGGGTATTTGGCTTGTGATATTGTTAAAGAGAGGGCAGGGGAAGAAGCTATGCTGAAAATGAAAAAGTTAGCAAAGATTTCTGGTTTCCAAACGTATAAATCTCTGTCCTTCTGTCTTGTTACTTTACGGAGCTCACATGGTTAATCTTCATGCCTGCAGTTTCTCTCTCTCCCTTTTTTTGCACTGTCACACTTTCTCCCACCCCTACTCCCCGCTTGCCTACATTTCTGCATTTCGGAGCTACTGATAAGAGTTAGAGAGAAAATATTCTAATTGTGTAGTATTGTGTACATTGTTCCATACATAGACGTTGTCAGGCAGGTTATGGAGCTATAATTGTGTAATATTATTATTATTGTTGCCATTTGCATGGCGCCAACAGATTCCGTAGTGCTATATATATATTTTTAAATTAATTTTTGAGATAAGGTACTGAGGATTGTGGGAGTGACGAGCTCACAAGATTGCATTCAGTGTTGAATACGGGATTTAGGAAGGTGTAGCTTGTAGCTTGTTAAGGGGAATATGCGATGTTGTTATGTCTGTATAAGAGGAGGAAAGTGATTAATGGTTAGAGGATGTTAAGGGAAATTGGTTGAATTCCGTGAGTTTATCTTGCTTCATGTTAAAGTACATTTTTCAATGGATAGCTTTATGGGCTGTTAAATGCATAATGTTCTCAACTGTCTTATTTAACCTGCCAGGTCTGTTCATAGTTTAATATTTCATTTTGCAGAACGGAATGTTGCTTCTCTGACTTATTTTATTAGTTATAATATGGTGTATTGTTGAAAGTGACGTCAGCCACCACCCTAAAGATGGCGCCTAGTACAGAAGCAGGTTGACCCTGAAAGTCCCGTGACCTATCTACAGTCACGGTTGCTTCTAAAGTAACGTCACTTCCGCCCTTACCATGCCCACACCTCCTGTCTTCCTTTCCCACACATATCATGGACGTCACCCCTCTCACTTCCTCCCTTGCTGTCATTTCCTTCCCCGCCCCTGTCATGGCTGCCTCCATCATGAGGCCTACCCCTATCATGCTCGTCCTATTTAGAGACATTACACTCTACATATTATGAACTGAAACGTTATATTAACTAAAACAATCATGCCATTTGTTTCCCTGTATCAGAGATGTGTCCGTGATATTTAAAAAAAAAAAAAAAAAAAGAGGTTGCTAAAGAGTCATTTGCACCTGTGGTGTGACCTACAAATGAGTTCTGTTGGGCACGAATATAAGAGCATTACAGCTAATTATCCTGATGATTATTCATTAATGCCTGTGTCTTGCAACAAGGGATATTGCAAAATAATGCAAGTTATTTTAAACATTGTATCTTTACTTAATAGAATCTTGCTAGTTACAAATCGTATGTTTACAGTAACATCCTTTACGTTAAATGACATTCCTCCGCCTCCCTGTCCCCCGCCACCTTTACCTATGCTTGCCTCTCGTCCCCTCTCCACCTCGACTTACCCCTCCCCAGTGTTACCCACTCACCCGTCTCCATCCGCTGCCCCGCTCTCTGCCCTCTCGACCTTACTCACCCCACCGCCCCAGATCCTCCAGACCCTTGTCCTCCCGCTGATCCCGCTTCCCTTATGCCTCCGGACCTCTCTTCTACCTCGTTGTCCCCTCCCCTCCCGACTGATTTGCCGTCCCTAATCTCTGCCCTCACTGCCCTGACCCAGCCCCCCGTTCCCACCCCTCCAATCCCTTCTCCAGTGGTACCCCCTCCCGATATCCCGGTCCCCTTTACCTCGTTGCCTCCTCCCCTCTCGGCTGATTTGCCGTCCCTAATCTCTGCCCTTACCGCCCTGACCCAGCCCCCCGTTACCACCCCTCCAACCCCTTCTCCAGTGTTACCTCCTCCTCCCGAAGTCCCGGTCCCCTCTACCTCGTTGCCTCCTCCTCCCTCGGCCGATTTGCCGTCCCTGATTTCTGCCCTCACCGCCCTGACCCAACCCCCCGTTACCACCCCTTCTCCAGTGTTACCTCCTCCTCCCGAAGTCCTGGCCCCCTCTACCTCGTTGTCTCCTCCTCCCCCGACTGGTTTACCCACGCTGTTACGACCCAGCCCCCTGTTCCCATCCCTCCGACCTCTCCCCCGGTGACCCCTGACCCAACCATGGCCAATGACCTGTCTAGCTCGATATCCGCCCTCTTCTCTGCTGTTACCTCCCTGGTTAATTCCGCGATTCCTGCCCCGCCTCCCACTGATTTACCTCCTCCTCCTCCTCCACCTCCTCCCTCTGATCCTCCAACCCCTTCTCCGCCCCCGGCTAACGTCCCCGAGCCTTCCGATCCAATCTCTGCCCTTGCTCACGTCCTTAATACTCACCTATCACGCCCATCCCAGCCGGCCCCCTGCTTTAGAGGCCCGTGCATACCCTCCAGCTCATGCTGATGGGTTTGACACTGGTGGTTTCCGAGATATTCAGCCCCAACCTCGACAAAGCCGCCTTGCCCGTGCTCCTATGCAGTCCAGCTTCTACCCACCGGTACCAAGGACCCGACCAGGCCCATTTAGATTTACTGCAATAGGTTACCGGCAAGCCTGTGTCAGCAACCCCTGCCATGACCCCTCCTTTTTGTCAAACTCCGATGTCTCCTGTGTTGGGGTGGATGATGCACCCCGCAGTAGCTCCCTCCCTACACTCCTGCATGTTGGTTCACACATACTCTCACGTTTTGTTGTTTCTTCTACTTGTCCCATTAACCTCTTGGGTGCTGATGTTCTTTCTCGGCTCCAGGGTCCAGTTAACTACACCCTTATCACAGACAGACACCACTGTACTCTGCTCACTCCCCATCTTGTTGAACCTAACTGACAATACAGGGAGTGCACGGGTCACACACACCCCCAGTGCTCTGGATCGTATCCCCCAAGAACTTTGGTCCACCAGCCCGGATGATATTGGACGCTTACATGTACCCCCCGTCCTGGTCCAGCTCCTGCCTGGAGCACTTCCTCCTCGTAGACCTCAGTATCCTCTGAAGCCAGCACAAGCTGAAGCCATCACCAAACAAGTTGAGTCTCTGCTTGCCAAAGGTGCCCTCACCAAGTGCACATCTCCATGCAACACCCCACTTTTCCCTGTTAAAAAGCGAACTGTTAAGGGCCAACCCGACCAGTACCGCATGGTACAGGACCTCCGTGCTGTTAAAGAAGTAACCATAAAGGACACTGCTATTGTTCCAAACCCCCCATACCCTTTTGTCCCAGGTGCCACCCAATTCAACAATTTTTTTTTCTGTAGTGGATCTAGCTAATGCCTTTTTCAGTGTCCCCCTTGACCCTTCCTGCCATTTTCTCTTCGCCTTCACACATGAAGGACAACAATATACCTGGACTGTTATGCCTCAGGGAGCTCAGAACTCTCCCACACAGTTTGCTCATGCCATGTCTCTAGTTGTGGATCCCTGGCAGAAATCTCATCTGGATGTTATTCTACTTCAATATGTTGATGACCTCCTTCTCTGTGCTCCTAATTTGCTTATTGCAGAGCGTGACTCAGAAGATCTCCTATGTTTCCTCGCTGCTGCAGGTTGCAAGGCCTCAAAATCAAAGCTACAATGGTGCCGGCCCTCTGTGGTCTTCTTGGGACATTGCCTTTCCCATGGCACCAAACATCTAACCTCACAACGGGTGCAAGCTATCCTGCAACTCATCACTCTCTTCATGCTTTCTTGGGACTCATCACATACTGCAGGTCCTGGATACCTGAAGCATCCAAACTCATGCAGCCACTCTATGATGCCCTCAGGAGTGAGCCCTTTCACCTCACTGAAGAAACTATTAACTGTTTCCATACTCTGAAAGGAGCTATTGCTTCTGCACCTGCTTTGGGCCTACCCAACTACCAACTCTCTTTCAATTTGTTTGTCTCTGAGAAATCAGGACATGCTTCCGGAGTCCTTACTCGGAAACATGGGTCCAGACAACGGCCTATTGGCTATTTTTCCTGCATGCTTGACCCTGTTGCAAGGGGCAGCCCCTCTTGCCTCCATGCTGTGTTTGCCGCCAGTGCCCTCTTGGACAAGACTAATGACTTTGTTCTTGGCCATCACCTCACAGTGTTGGCCCCTCATGACATTACTGCTATCCTGCAACAAGTTCAACTCAAGCACCTTTCCTCCCAACGCCACCTCCGCCTGCAAACCTCCTTGCTTTTACCTGACAATGTGAAACTCCAGAGATGCCTTACCCTGAATCCAGCCACTCTTCTGCCACTTCCCAAGGGGGGAATTGTGTACCACTGGTATAGCCTGGATATCAACCCAGAAGTTCTAGCAGATCTGCAACTACCTGCACTTGCACCTCCACATGATGAACAATCAGTGGCCCTACTCCACTGTACTTTGTGGGTTAGGGATGAACCAGGCCCTGATATGAACTATGAGGCAGAAGTATTCCAACTCAAAGAAATCCAAATTACCCTGACTGACTTGTTTTGGGACCTCACAGGTACCATGCTCATCTTAGTCCACCTCCCAGAGAGTGTGACACATCTCTATCACCATTGGGAAACATCTATCCCACACATATCTCTCACCAGACCTCCCGACATCTCGTGGAAAGACCTAGGCCCGATGGCCAAGACCTGGAGTCAAATGAACCAAGAACAACTGACTTCTATGGGGACCAGCAAAAAGACTATTAACTACTGTACAGCAGGGTACCCTAGGTACCACACAGACGTCTGTGAGGACCCACTCATCATAGACTGTGACCCTGATATTTCCCCACTTAGCTGATCAGGCCGCTAAGGAAGCAGCACGACAAGGATGGGAAGTGGACAGAAGAGTGGCCACAGATGCAGTACCCATCTACACTATGCAAACACTGCCTACGGATCTTAGGTTTCTGAAGGAACAACAAGCTGCTGCTACTCCCCAGGAGAAACAAAGTTGGAAGAACAAAGGAGCTGTACTCCGTGATGATGTTTACACTATCAATCTCAAGTTTTGCCTACCCAGAAATATGTATCCAGCGGTGGTCCAATGGGCCCATGGGCCAGCCCACCTGTCAAAACATCTGATGAACTCATTGATTGACAAGTATTTTGAAGCACCAGGCATCACTACCTTAACACAGAATTACTGTAAATCTTGTACTATATGTGCTAAATGCAATCCTGGAAAGATTATAAAGACCACATCTAATCACCTAGCCAAGCCACAATACCCCTTTCAGAGGATCCAGATTGATCACATTCAGATGCCAAAGAGTGGACGTTATGAATATGCATTGGTCATGGTGGACATGTTTTCAGGATGGCCAGATACCTTCCCAGTGACTAATCTCACCACGAGGACTACAGCCAAGTACCTTTTGACGGAAATTGTTTGTCGATATGGAGTTCCAGAAGTGATTGAAAGTGACCAAGGGACCTCCTTCACTGCCTCGTTAACACGGGAAGTCTGGTCAGCACTGGGGGTGACCCTTGCATTCCACACACCATATCACCCACAGAGTAGTGGTAAGGTAGAGCGCATGAATGGCACTTTGAAAGCCAGAATGCTTAAAATGTCACAAGAAACTAACATGCCCTGGCCCGAGAGTCTCCCACTAGCGTTATTTAGTGTAAGGTACACTCCCAGAGGAAAATATAGCTTGTCACCTTATGAGATTTTGTTTGGTACAGCACCCAGGTTAGGTTGCTACTTTCCCCAACAGCTTCAGATTCAGTCAGATGCTATGGTAGACTATGTGACTGCCCTCTCACATGCCTTGACCAAGATACATGCCCAAGTGTTTTCTTCTATTCCAGATCCTGAGTCGAATACAGGTACACACAAGCTGCTTCCTGGTGATTGGGTTATGGTCAAGAAGTTTCTCAGGAAACACACCCTAGAACCAAGATTTGATGGCCCATATCAAGTGCTCCTGATTACAGCAACGTCAGTTAAACTAGCCGGGAAGAGTTCTTGGATACACGCCTCACATTGCAAAAAAGTGCCTGCTCCAGAAGAGGCTAATCTTGCTGAAATATGAATTTATTATGTGTCTTGTGTTTTCTTATGCTGCTACACTTTGCCTGGGCCCAACAAGTGGCCATAACCAAAGATAATCATGTTTACACTTTCTGGTACAATTCTTCTAACACAGATGTAGCTACATACACCGTTGATTACTGTGACATAGTTGTTTGCACCTTTTCCACAAACACAATATGCAGCCATATACAAAGACATACCTAGCAAAAAGGCTCACCTCACCAGACTGGGTAGGAACCACTCACATGACTATTAACCCGTTAAAACCACATATTAAGACTCTACATGACATGGTAGCTATAGACAATCCCACCTTTGAAGACACTATGGCAGTAGAGACTGGGTTTTCAGACACTAATTTGTGGCTAGAATGGATGAGATATAACGCCAACTCACATAATAAGACCAACTGTTATGTATGTGGAGGAGCCAGGCCCCATCTGGGCACAGTTCCTCTGAATTTGCCTCCTGAAGTAGAATCATGTGTTCTGAGCCTTTACACACAGTCCGTCACCAACTCCTCGACATGTGAATCGTGGAAGAGAATTTACCCGATCACTCACGGACAGGTAAAACCACCTGATGGAGTCACCATCTACCCGGGTAATTACACATGTTATACAATATCTAAAAACACCGGTTTGTATCTGGGCAAATTCCCATCAGGATATTGCTCAACTTACCATAATCCACCCGTATCACTGCTAATGAACCACACAAAGACAATCGGTGATATCTATTGGTTGTGTGGGGATAAACAATTGAGGTCCCAATTAATTGGGCAATGGTGGGGGGAGTGTGCCCTAACTAAAGTCATAATGCCTATCCATATCATTCCAGATGGTGACCATAACACGTTAAACCTCACACATGTACACTCTAGAACCAAACGAGAGACTCCTATTCGAGGGAGTTTCGACCCCCATGTGTATATTGATGCCATAGGTGTGCCAAGGGGGGTGCCTAAAGAATACAAAGCAAGAGATGAAGTGGCTGCAGGATTTGAATCCCTAATTCCAATGATAACTGCTAACAAAAATGTCATTTGGATTAACTACATTTACTATAATCAACAGCGCTTTGTCAACTACACTAGGGATGCCCTACAGGGCCTGGCAGAGCAATTACAAGCCACTACCCAAATGACATTTCAGAACAGAATGGCCCTAGATATGATTTTAGCTGAGAAAGGGGGTGTATGTAAAATCCTCCCTGAGACCATGACATGCTGCACATACATTCCAGACAACACTGGGCCCAATGGTAAGGTGACTATGGCCATAGAGAAGCTAGATAGTCTTGCAGACGAGCTAAAGAAAAATTCAGGAGTCACTGACACTTGGGACAGATGGTTTGGATGGATGAATGGTTGGCAAAGGACCCTCTTCCAGGTAGGGACAGCTGTTCTTATAATGATCATCATTTTCTTATTTCTGACCTGTTGCATACTCCCTTGCATAACAGAAGTACTTACAGAAAGCGGTAGATAAGACTGTGGATGACGTGACCCCTACTTTCCTACATCAAGATATCACAGACCTCGAAGATGACACTCCACACACACCCCTACAATCACATCAGTTCAAACAGACAACTGCTTTCCTGTAGGGACAGTGTAGGGAAAGCGTCTGTCTTAGCAGGCGAGTCTCACGTGTGGAGATGTGGTGGACTAGCCGCCGCGGGTTACCCACGGAGTGAAGTGTTCGATGCTTGTTAAGACAGATGAGCTGCAGGCAGCTAGGGACATATTAGGGACAGTAGCAGTTGTTATGGTAAATAGCCATTTTAGGGGGGACTGTTGTGGAAATAAGGTCTGCACATATTTCCTAGTTAGTGAAAATGTCTATTTACTCATTCCACGATATATTATATATAAAGCTATACACACATGCTCTAATCAAGATGGCTGCTAGAAGCTTCTAACCCCTTCCTCCCCCTGCCCCTTTAAACACCGACTAACTACCTCGTGCAGCAAGATGGCGCCGGGAAACCGTGGGAGACCCTCATGGACCTGGTGACATGAAATATTGACATATTTTTAGCTAGTAAAATGTCTATTTACTTCATTTAGTTATACTTAATATTATTCAATAAATTACTAAACTGACCACTAGATGTCACTCAGGAGTACCCCACCCATCGACCAAACACTCTAATTTTCAAGATGGCGCTGGAATCCTGGGGGAGAACTCCATGACGACAGTAATGACATAAGAAGGCACACCCTGTAGGACGTGCTTTGAATAAAACACTTAACACTTAACCAATTATTGATGTATTATTCCATGTTATCTCTGACAATGCTTATGATGTAATTTTGCTTTAAAAGGGACCTGCCGTCCCCTCTGAATAAACTTTCCTCAAGTTATTCAACAACCTAGAACCTGTGTCTGGTGTGAATTACTTCAGGGAGCGTGCACGCATAGTTTCATTGATTTGGCCAGGGGCAGATACACAAAGAAATAATCAATACTTTAATTGATTTTTCCATTTCACTTTCTATAATAATCGTTCCCTATTTTCAATATTTCAGATATTGACTTGTCAGATTCAGATTACATTAAAGAACCATTACAAAGCTTGTTTTTTATTTTATTTTTGTAATTTTTATTTTTTATTTTTGCTGTGCAAAAAATTAATATACTTGCTTGCATTGCCACAACAACATATGTAAGCTTTGCAACCTAAACATTATCATGGGAAGAGATAACTGCATTTTTCATTATAATAAACATGTTGTAGTAGACACGTCAGATGGTTTGGTAATCCGAAGTAGTAGGTATACCATGTTATGCTAACTGACAGTATACCTAGTCCTTAGATAAAGTATTTATCATGCTTAGTCAGTAGGTGAGCAAGTAATCTACGGAAAACCACCAGTTCTATATTGCGGCTGCACTTCGCAAGTAGAGGGGCTAAAAGTTAGTGTCAAAGTGACAAGAGAGAGTTATAAAATGGTAATATAAATTAGTAGCTTGAAAGGCAATACCACCTTATTCTAATTATATTAGTAGGCATTTGACTCTATATACGAAAAACTAACTGATTGTACAAACAAGGCAAAATAGGTATAATTATATAAGAAAGTTAACAAAGATATAACAGTCTATGCCTAGTAAGCGCTGATCATTTAGCCTATGCCACAGTTAGGTCTTAGCTGGGGTTCGGCTTTGCTTTCAATGAGAAGATGTCAGCTGGCACTGCCCCTGCTTCCCATCTGCATGAAGGGGTCAACCAGAACAAGAAAATTGTCAAGGCAATGTCCCAGCCCCTCTGCCCCCAATGCCCAGGCCTCCATATGAGCCGGTGCCTGATAAACACTGAACTCCCCAATTGCTATGGCTGGGTTAACATCCTGTGGGGCTCCCGATTCACAGGCAGTCTCTCCAGGTTGTGGATGGCTGATGGATTCCTCTTCCATATGCTTTCGGCCCAGAAGGGGAGCGACGTGCCAGGACGATGCCAGTGGTCTCTGCATCTGCAGGTAAGATTAGCACCTCCTCATGAGATGCCAGCCGATTCCAGAATGCGTTACATATCTTGTCAAACTTGGTTTGGAACTTGGCTTCCCACTGTTGTACTGATTCCTCTATCAGTGTGGTGGCCATCTTGTCTGTGCCATGAGTACTTGTGTTGCCAGAACAGGCTGCAGCTGTAGTGCCTTTTCCCTGGTGGGGACCGGGATATCCCCCACTGCACCACAGGGGTGGTAAATGGGGCTGCTGCTTCAACTGCTTCAGATGCCAGTAGTTCCAGGCAAGGAGATCGGCCCTCTCTACCCTCCGTGGATCATACCTGGCGTGTAGGCCCTAGTATACTTCTGCTCTACAGGAGATAAGGTAAGGCACCAATTTAGCACAAAAAAGACCCCGCCACCTACGAGGCTTGTTTTTTATTTTATGATTAATAATATGTTTGCTTAGGGCATCATAATTGTATTGCTAATTGGATGGATATATATATATATATATATATATATATATATATATATATATAAACAAAGTTCCAAAGATAGCACTCCAGGGACTTATAAAAATTTTTTTTACTTTTATTACCTTCAATCAAGGTGTCAACGTTTCAGCCCAATAACCTCAGGCTTTCATCAGGACATAATACGTGTACAAATAAACCCACATTTATACCATAACACAAATAATAACTCACCACACTTGTGACACGTCTGACTCCATGGACGCCCGGACCGGGACTGCCGCGGGCTGCCCGACGTACGTCTGCAGCCGCACGGCGTCACGCTCAATGACGCGGCCAGGGGTCATCACCATAGCAACCTATAACAACAAATGTGGTGCAGCACACTAATCTAATCATAAAAACAATGTATCCACTGTTTAACGCTCCATTCTCGGGGATTTCACAGTTCAAACAGTTATGCAGTATACAAAGCTAACAATTATGTTATTTAAACCATGCTTAATATACATATTGAACTTAACAGCTGAAATAACAATCGGCAGAATTAACCATAGCTACCAATCACTTTGAGATTTCTGAAATCAGGCTTGTCAGGCTAAAAAATAGAAGTCTATCCAAATCACAAGAGAAAAATATTAAATCCAAAAGCATTAGACATAAATGCATGGCTACCTAATTATAAAGCATCACATGTGTATCTCAAGACTAGCACATTAAGTTATTCATAAGACTACAAATAAACTCCATAGATACAACCTTATTGAGTACAAGACATCCAGTGAGGACATCCCTCTAATAAAATGCTAATAATCAAAGGAATTCAAGACTGACTCATAAGAAATTATATCAACCCTAATTGCTATTGGTCAATGAAAGGGTAGCCTGTCCCTCTGGGTGGGCACCCAATACTCACCTCAAATAGCAAGAAAGGATAAATGTACACAGTGGCAAAAATGGCCACTGTTTGTTTGTTGTCTGGTTTTCTTAATGCTGGGTTTTCTGGGTTCATTCCTTTATTCCATTTCTGGAATTCCCAGTCTCCTGGCTTCCTTTAAAATACTGTCACGGGTGGGGATCCGGAGACCGGGACCCCTGTATTCCTGATGATGGTAGGAGTCACAGTGAACAATCACGGTCTGGTG